AGCAGCATCATCATGATCATCATTATCATCATCATCACGTCATCATCACTGACTGTTGTAATAACCGCGTACCTGTCGTACAGTGATTGTAGCTGCCACAGTTTCGTTCACCGAGGCTCACTTATCGTGGGCTGAAAAAATAATGATTGTAATGGCGAGTGGAGGTTCAAAATACCAAATGACCTTCCGCACAAGCGTCATTATACTATCAGGAATTTCATTTGGGGTTTTGCGAGGTATGTATTCCGTTCATATTCACACCACTCTCGTTTGAACGGTCGTCCTCCTGTTCTGGCGCAATTATTCCGGTGAGTCCATACCAAAGGGATGCACTGGGCTCGAGTTTCGCTCTTGTTAGAGCTCATCAGCAGTGCATACCTAATTGCCATGCCGGGATTCGAACTCCGGACATCTGCTATGCGAGGCGAGTGTTTTATCACTACTCCACGGCGCTTGGTATTAGCACAGTGAAATTGAATTTTCGAAAGTTATGACGTGTCCCTGATGGACTAAATCAATTGGGCAGTTGTGTTCAGAGTAGCAATCCAGACTTTTAAGTATCATTTAGGCATCCCGGGGTCTCAGCGATCCTGGGAAATTATCCCACAATACTTTTTAGCCAGAGGCATGGTTGCTTCAGTGAACAATCAAATTTAGTGAGCTGCAAAAATATGGAAGCACATTAGGATGGTTTTTGGTTTGGGCACATCCGCAACTAAATGCAACATTTTTGGGTAAAGGTTTCGCAAAGGTTTTGCGGCTGACAGCATTGTACTCCAACAACGCACGCTGGACGTATCTGAATTCCCGCTTGAGCGATGTGATTGAAGTCCCTAACCCATGGAACTGCGAACCAGTAACTGCCCTGGCTGTCACGACCGATTGACCCAGTCAGGCAGCGTCACAGACGCTTGAAATTAGGAGTTTGTTAGATGAGTGTGGGGGAATCGGTCACTTGATCTTTGATCAGGAGTTTCAGGTACTTACCTTGCGGGCCAACCAACCAATCTGTGCAAATAGAAAAACCCGGTTAGGGATATAAATTAAATCTATTTTGACTCTTAGTCATACGTGTCATATAAGAGCTCCTGACTTTAATGAATATATTGGAAAAGATATGTTCCGACCACGACAACCTCAGCTACAACGAGCACTTTCATCCTGTTTGGAATGCAACAGATGCGCTTGAGCATTCATTCAAATACAGTCTCGTGTTCTCCTCGCAGATTGTGTATTTCCTTCATGGATGTGCCTATGTGGCATTTTGTAAGATACCAGTGTAACGGTGAGACTACTGATGGGGATGCACGCGAGTAGTATGTGTTGTCCGTGGAATTTCGCCTTGCTTCGATTGAAAAAGGGAATTCTGTTGCGGAATTCTCGGGGTCACTTTGTAACATTTGCTTGGATTTGACCGACGAATGAGTGGTGGCAATGAATCTCTAGGAAGACTCGTTCGGGAGAAGATCTGTGTCCAGTTTTTGTCACTGAGATGCAGATTAGAGTTTTGCTTCCCTGTTCAATGGTCTGTATCCGGTCAGTTGGCATTTCCGAATAAACTCCGCAGCGAAGGCCTTCTTCCTTTCACCAGTAGCCTACAGCACACCCTGATGACATCTATGCCATACCTTGTCCAACCCTTGCGCAGCGGGCAACAACATCGCAGCACTGTCAGAGGATTTCGGGTATGACAAGCGTCACAGCAAAAACAACTGCCAGTCTCGTGTAGAAAAAATGAGCGCAATAGATCAATTCAAAAGTGCATGCATTTTTTGTCGGGTGGTGTATTTATACATTGGTCCACGTAAAGACCCCTTTAGAAGAGGTCACTGGTAACGAAAACTAAACAGTATTTTTGTTGTATTCCGTTGAAGTCCGCATTACTGAAAATGAGAAGTTAGTCGAAAACAGTCAATCGGAACAGTTACCTTCGGGCTCTTTTTCTGTACACGGACCACCTTCACCGGATGGGCAGACAACCATATTTTACCCTTTGCGAGCGAACGCGAGTAGTTCCGCTATGTAGCTTTCATCACATAGCTACCAGGGACCCGAACGGAAATGTTTGTGACGAAGAACAATCGAAATCTTGCACTCAAGAGTTTTGCTTTATGTTTTTTTTCCAACTATCCTATGCAATCGATCACGTGATTTGTCGTTTGTTGTGCACTGCCTTTCTCGTTCGCATTCATTCCTCTCCTGGTTTTCTGTCTCCCGGCGGTCTTGGTAAAAATCCATACGGGAACAGACCATGTGACTCCATCTGTGATGACTACAGGCACGCCAGAAAAGGACAATCGATAAGATGCTCTTTTAACACCTAATCCGCAGAGTCATATGTCAGTCGACCAGGTGACAGATACAATACGAATACGTACACAGAAAAACGTCTACATCTCAGGTAAACCTCCTCCTACAAAAACAGTAGTGGTCCATGAGTTCTTATCAAAAGAGGTGTGCAAATGTTTCGGAAGTCATCGAGGTAAAACGCTCTTCCGATTGCTCATTGATAGGTCATTTGCCCCATGAACGATGGTTGTGGAAAGAATACAGAGGAACTCGTATAATCATGAAAAACGGATTTTGGTTAGCTGCAGTGCACATTATGGGCACAGTCAGAACAGCCTGTTTGCTGAACGTGTCCGTTGAGTCCAGTTTGTGAAATGACCAAACCAATGTGGAAAGCACCAGCTTTTCTAAGACCTCCTTCTTGATCGCAACAATTTACCGCGGAAATTTTCGCACAGAACAAACAGGCTTTCATACCCAACTGGGAAATTCTTCCGTTTTCTTCCGCATCGAAAATGTTCTCCCTCTAATTCACGCCAAATATGACTTGAATCTAGCCAGAACCTGAGTCTGCGCCTACGCCGGTGCATTTGATGACCGAATGGAATAAATTATCCGTGCTGGAATCACAATGTTTACCCACGGGGAACATAAAACACTTTTGAACCATGCTCGTTTGTCCAGACTGTAAATGTCACAGGTGTGCGAATGAACACTCATTTGCAAACTAAAAAGGTTGTCTGGCACTGGCGAAAAACTCGACCAAATATATCTTATAGCAATTTAGCAAATCAGACTGTAGCATGCTTCAACCTCAGAGATTATAAGGTTCATGAAAACACCAGTTTTGATGACCGGATCTGGACGATGAGACATTAAGTTGTTGAACCGATAACTGGTTTTCCAGAAGTATTCACTGATCGTATAAGTTGCCTCATTTCAGGGAAACAGTCAGGTGATGATCAGTATAAGCAAAAGATTCGGGGAAAACCAAATTGGTAGCAAACCCGTGTGTTTGTCTAATGTGAAGGAATGTTCTACTCATCATACTTACTGTAGAGAACGTGAATTTATACAACTAACCTTTCATTAAGCATGAAACGGACACAGTCAGTTGCACAGGATATCCCATCTCTTGGCTTAATGTGCTATTATTTACCTGAATGTGTGTCTGCATGATGAGACATTATCGTAAACAACCGCTGGAATCAGAGAATTGCACTCGTATGCAAACTAATTTGCTTTCCGAGGGTCTCACCTGGTCCCCAAGTGGATCTCTCGTTTGTGATGTCTCCAGACAACTGAATGTACTGCACCGAGCTGCCTCATGTTTCAGTCGCTACGATATTCGAGATATCGCGATACATGTGTATCTTTGTAATGTACTACTCATAAGGTTGCAAAAAATTCGTCGACAGCCCACGATCGGTTTCGCCCCTTTTGGGTCTCATCAGGTAGGCGCAGTCCCCGAGTTTTCGTCAAACGTATGTTCTACTTGAAACCGAATTGCACCAAATTTGCGAAATACGAAACTCACCTGGAACTCAGCTGGATCTGTCGTTCGCGATGTTTCCATGTACCTGCTAGAATCTGCTGAGTTATAAATTTACAACGTAATTCGCAGTTTATTGTCGCAAAATTAAATAAAACTGCTGCAAAGGAAAAAAAGCAACAATGCATAGATGCCCAACAACTTATCCGGTTAGATCGTTCCAAGAAAACTTCGGATAAACAAGAATGATGTGTTGCTATGACATTCACGGTGTGAAGTGCGTTGTGATAAATTAAACACTTGAACCCAGATTGATTGACTGACGAAGTGATTAGTGTTCAGAAGGCTCTGTGAAGTCATGCGCAGTGAAATTTAGAAACCTCAGGTAACCGCATAAACCTCACCGGTAGACTCAATTGGCCTTGAAAAACCGTTCCAAAAACAGCACCAGTGAAGATGGAAAAGTTCGACTCAGCCTGCAGTAGATTAAACCATACCAAAACATATATTGTTGAAGAGAACTCTCCATGTTTAGTTGGCCAGAGTTTTCATCTCAATGTACAGACAGATTGCGGTTGGATTCTGAAAACACTTTGACAGGTCTCTAGGCCAAGCAACAAGACACGTGGCTTGGTTATTAAGAGGGATTAGACTTTTAAAGGATAGCTCGGTTAAGAACAGTCAACCGACCGCAGTGACGAAGGGCAACTAGACTGAACTAGGCCTTTGACATTTGCGTCCCTTGTCGCCCACCATTGTTTCCTGAAAATTTCCGTGTAGGTCGGTTAGGAATCCGAAATATCTGGCGTTTTCCACAAACAGTCATAATGGAGGGACTTGGTGATAAACCAACTACCCCACTACATATACACCTATCCATCTATCTATTTATGCAGCTATCTGTGCATCTACCTGTCTAGGAATTTATCTATCTATCTATCTATCTATCTATCTATCTATCTATCTATCTATCTATCTATCTATCTATCTATCTATCTATCTATCTATCTATCTATCTATCTATCTATCTATCTATCTATCTATCTATCTATCTATCTATCTATCTATCTATCTATCTATCTATCTATCTATCTATCTATCTATCTATCTATCTATCTATCTATCTATCTATCTATCTATCTATCTATCTATCTATCTATCTATCTATCTATCTATCTATCTATCTATCTATCTATCTATCTATCTATCTATCTATCTATCTATCTATCTATCTATCTATCTATCTATCTATCTATCTATCTATCTATCTATCTATCTATCTATCTATCTATCTATCTATCTATCTATCTATCTATCTATCTATCTATCTATCTATCTATCTATCTATCTATCTATCTATCTATCTATCTATCTATCTATCTATCTATCTATCTATCTATCTATCTATCTATCTATCTATCTATCTATCTATCTATCTATCTATCTATCTATCTATCTATCTATCTATCTATCTATCTATATATATATACATATATATATATATATATATATATTACCGTGTGGATTCTGTAGGTTTCTATATGTTCTACACAACATGTTCGAGAAATGCCCTCTTTTGTACGGTACTTGTCAGTTTTACTGTCTTTCAGAAATCCAAAATGTTCTATACAAGAGGTTTGTCTTCCGACACCTGGTATTGAGCGTCACTCAAGCGTTAGAAATGACGTTTGGCTGAAGATTAAATGGACTGCATGCAAGAAGCATAGTAAAAAGGAAAACACACGTTTAAAAGTCTGTCACAACTGAAGGATGAATGACCTAGGTTGAAGCTATCCATTTATGTGGAAGCAGGTTGTGTGGGGGTTGAGATCTGAAGATATGCTTATTCCAATGTTGCAACATATATGCACGCAAGTTTGAAAGGCACAAGTGTAATTCTAATATGGTTTGCCAAAATACTCTACTCAGACTACGGTTGGAAATCTGGATACCCCTGATTTAGCGCATGACAGAACCCGAGAACCGAGTTCTCGAATTCACAGTCCCTTTCAGTGAGCTCTGAGTAGTGATATTCATTGGCTTCAAACTGGTAGAACCATAACAACCGGTTTTGAATGTTTTTGCTTTGGTTTTTTTTGAATGTTTTGCTGTGTACAGCTTATAGCTGTTTGTTCTGTTTTGTGTCAGTATGCAATGGATTATTGATCTGAACATGTGATAAACTTTGCATAATTGCTTCATCTCGCGTGTATATTTTTTCTTGCTGTGTGGTGAGTCAGTCACGTGACTGTTCAAAAATTTCAACGTTCTCCACTGCCAGTAAGGTCACAGTACGGTTGCCGTACGGTCGTAGTACATGCAAACAAAGCTATGTTTGCAAACAGTACAGGGGATGAAAGCCACAAAGCTAAAAAGTAGCTTAGTAGCACCCGAGGCGACGCTCAAATGCACCCAAGAAAATCGTCTATACACAACGCTCAACAGTAAACTTTCTGACCGTGAATTGCAGTAGGAGAAAATAACCCTGGCTTTGATGGGCTTCGCCAGGTACCTGACTGTTGAAAGTACTGAAATGTGCAGCTCAGTAGGATCTGTCAACCAGAGGATGGGAGGATGAACCCATGGATAGTTGGCAGACAGAAAGATGAACAGATAAATAGAGATAGATAGGTAGTTAGATAGATAGATAGATAGATAGATAGGTAGATAGATAGATAGATAGATAGATTAGATAGATAGATAGATAGATAGATTAGATAGATAGATAGATAGATAGATTAGATAGATAGATAGATAGATAGATTAGATAGATAGATAGATAGATAGATTAGATAGATAGATAGATAGATAGATTAGATAGATAGATAGATAGATAGATTAGATAGATAGATAGATAGATAGATTAGATAGATAGATAGATAGATAGATTAGATAGATAGATAAGATAGATAGATAGATAGATAGATAGATAGATAGATAGATAGATAGATAGATAGATAGATAGATAGATAGATAGATAGATTGATAGATAGATAGATAGATAGATGTATAAATGCATAGACAGATAGATGCATGGATAGGTAGATGCATAAATAAATAGATGGATAGGTGAATATGTAGTTAGGTGGTTGGTTTTCACCAAGTCCTTCCAATATGACTGTTTGTGGGAAACGCCGAGTGTTTCGGATTCCTAACCAACCCACATGGAAACTTTCAGGAAACGAAGGTCGTTTTCGTGAGCTATTTGGTAGGTGTCAGGAACAATAAGCTGCTGACTGGTGATTTATGCATGATATAAAGTTCAACGGACGGAAAGCCCATTATTTCCCTAATTAGTGTATGTGCTTATTGAGACTGTTGGATAGACAGCAACGCCAACACATATGAACATGTTATCTTGATGACCAAGGCACAGAGGTGCTGGTTAACGTTTTAAGCCTGCAAATAAAAAAGAATGGGGTGAAATGTCGCCACACTTCTCATATTCCCTGTGAGAGTAATCAAACGGTAAAAAGGGATACAAAATACTGTGCGCTATACATCGTAGAACTCTCCAGATTCCCCAAGATAACCAAGCTCTAAAACATCCTAGAATGAGTAAAATATATCCTCTCTACATACATCTATCTGGATCAGTATTCTCCAGTCGATGGATATACACGGATTATTGAGATGGAATAGAGCGTCTGCAGCAGGAAATGAGATAAGCCTAAGACTAATACGTAATGGTTAGAGGTAACAGACAATGGAACACTTGGAAGTCTGATGTATGATGATTTGGGGTCTCACCAAACACGTGATGGTGCAGCATATGAAGCGTACTCAACAAACCTGCCGATGGACGGTCGGTCATTTCGGCTCAAGTCGGCAGACAGGATACGTGATGCATCTTGCTTAAGACTCTATATTCTAAAACGGACTCACTAGTAGGCGTTACTAGCTGTCGGAAAGCACCTTGCAACTGAAGATCCCACCATCAAGACGGAGGAGCTGTAGTAGGGTTGTTGTACCAGTCATGCAATTTGAATTTGGATATTGAGTCAAAACGTCAGACGAATAGATGTCACGTTGGATCCAACTGTGTGTATTCAAGATCTCATATGTGAGTTATAGTTATGAACCCAGCTTGCCTACCTGATAAGCCTCAGAAGGGCGAAACCGGTCGTGGGCTGTCGAAGAGTTTTAAGGAAACTTGTGAGTAGTTTCCTTTATGAAAACGTAACTTGGCGTTTATCCTCCGACTTCGAAAACTCCAAGAATCTGTAGATCCATATTTTACGCCACAGAACTGTCATACATGAACCAACGATGGTTTAGGCCGCTCAGGACGCAAACGTTTGGTTCAACTACTGAGCAAATCTTCATGTATTGAAAAGTGCGAATTCCCAAGGCCCTCCACAGGATAGAAAGAGGTTGGAATTATTGGTTTATTCAGCCAGTAATAAAATGTCTAAACTGAGTAGGACATTTTTCATAAAGGAGAAAAATTTCGACAGCTCACAACCGGTTTCGCCCTTCTTCGGGCTCATCAAATCGGCGCAGTCCCCGAGCTTCCGTCAACCTTATGTTCTACTTGAACATTTGCTTTCCAATTCCGTCTTATAAAACTAGATTAACGGCCACATTCGGCAACCAGGGTGTTTACACGTAGGCACATATCTGGAAAACCGGATGTAAGACAATATCTTCAAAATTATTCACATTCAATCGCTCCAAGGTCACTAGTCTTGTTGTATAATCAACATCGCGTACATGAGGTCTCCACTGCTTTGCTTTATGTATAATTAGCCCAATGTTCGGTCTATCCATGGACCGGATATCTTATTCAAACTGGGTGGCATCTGTACAATTCTAGGTCATCTTTTTAGGTTTAATAAAGCCACCGGGTCGAAAGGAACTGGTATCAATCAGAGTCAATGCAATGTATGAACCAGATTTCACCCATCAAAAAGTAGCCAACCAGAACACTGAATATGTACTTTGCATTGATTATACGAGCGATCGATGTCTGAAACGCACTCCGGTCAAGCTGACTGGTGCTCTGGGGAGAGAGACAAATGCAGTTGTGCTATCTTTCCCCGACTGACTGCCGGTTGCATTTTGACAACTTTTCTATGGACGTTCAGT